ATAAAGAACACTGACGTAGTTTTCTTAAGTGAACTTTTTTTTTTATTCTTGGCGTTCATTGTATTTAGTCGGATTTTTAGCAGAATAAAATTTAGACTTGTTTTTCACAAATCACGGTAATTTTGATATTTCATAATTAGTTAATCAATATCCAAATTTTGGATATCACTAGTTGTCACATCGTTTTGCCATGTGACATTTGGTTTATAAGATCGTTTTAACATCCGGTCGGTGCCTTCGGACGTTACTTTTCGGGTAATGACACGGGGTATTAACGGCTATTTCTATTAGTATGTAATAATTTAACATAATTCGCAAGGATTAATGTCTTTATTGTAAAAAATTGATATTTTTTTTTATTATTACGTCAATTGATTTTTTATTTTTTTTTTAATAATTATACTTAATGAATTATTAATGTTATTTGTTTTATTAAATAAAAATATAATATTTTTAATATAAAGATATAAAATATTTATAAACTGATTAGAATTTAATAAACATTTTTTATTCAAGAGGATATTAAGTGAGTGTCGGGATTTTGAATTTTCGAGATTGTGATTACTATTGTAATTACTATTGAGAGTCGGTTTTGGATTCTGATCGTCGAGTAAATCCCCATGTTATCATTTTATATTAAAATAACAGATAAGGAATATCCGGTCGGTATTCGGTGATATATATAGATTGTATTCAAGTAATGAAATCACTTATTAATTATAAGCACTTATATGAATTTCACTTTATATGTTACCGAACGCCGACTCGGATATATCTTATTTAATACAATCAAGTAATGAGATCATTTCACGAATTATAAATTATCTTCCTTTTTTTGGTTTGCTGATCGGCAACATTAATTTCTTTTCGCTGAAACCATTTCATCGAATGGACATTTCACCGAATGGATATTTCAGAAATTAACGTTTTTGTAAAAAAATATTCAACGCACAATGAAAATAAAAAATAAATGAACGTTTGGACAAATTCTTATTATTTTAAATATCCTTTTTTCCAAGATATTATTACTTTGACATATCCCTTCGGCAAAACATTCCGTATTTATTCCTATTCAAGGTATATTTGTCCTTTATATACCAGCCAAAAAAAAGCGAAATCGGTTTTATCATATTATTCGTTATTTTTATTGTTCGAAATGTTTTCTGTGTGTTTTACATTATCCCTTACCCTTAGTAAAAAGAAAGTCGTATGAATTTCATTTTATATTAAAATAAGATAATATGAGATGAATTTTTAATTTCACGCGTCAAATTATAACTTCTTTTTTTTTTGTTTTATTTATTCATATACAAACAAATAATTATAAAATATGTACAGTTAAAAAATGTTTACATATAAAAAAAATATGTATATATACAGTATATATCCCTAAAAGATTAAACATAAATTACAATTTAATATTTCCTTAAAAAACTTACCAGGATTAAAACATACAGATCTAAATTATGACTTATTTTATTTAAATTACTAATGTTTTCTGGTAACTAATATTAAATTACAAATTTATAGAAATCATCCTGATCCATAATGAAATTTCCTATCTTTTTCACGCTCAATATCCATTGAAAGTAAAATTTTGAAATATGAACATGTTAGCATATACAGAATATGAAATTTAAGCCTAAAAACTTAACTGATTATTAGTAGTTATCAGGTGTTAAAGCAAATCGGTTAATGTATGCGCAAATAATGAACAATAAGTAAACGAATAATAAAGTAATGATAACGTGTATATATCACTATATCAGTTGATTTATAAGCGGAATTAAACTGTACAAAACGATATGTAGCTAAAGGTCAATATAGGATAATGAAACACTTTAAAGAAATAAATGTGTTGTAATAAATCGGAAACAAGCGGGCGGGTTTATTAACACTTGAACAAAATACGATATTACTGCCTCTATCGGCGCTCTGTAATATCCGTATAGAAAATAAAACCTACACGAACTGCTCAAACTACACCTCCACCATCGGTCCTTTTTATATCGTTAAAAATCTGGTGCGAATCTGACTCTCGAACTGATTTGCCTCCCGGCCAAATGTGGCGATTAGTCGTATTTGTCTATTAAGCCACCTTTAATTCAGCCACTTTCCCACCGCTAAGCTTTCTAATCATTAAATAACTAAAAATATCTCTATGTAACATAACTAAATTACTAAAATAAATAAATAATAAATAAAAGATAAAAATAAATAAAATAAATAAAAAAATATCCCGTGACACGAACATTAAACAACGATAGATATTGATACAGGAGCAAATAGTACATACTGGCTTCATGCACATGTTAAAGGTAGTATATTATTCGTACTTTTTTTCAATTATTATTATTATTTAATGAAACTTTAATCATATAACATTTTAATAATACAAAAATGAATCGGTAAAACGAAATCAAAGAAATTGATCATCACTCGAAAAGGTGAATAAAAATTGATTAACAAAATTCTCTGGACAATAAATAATAGTTATTTGGTATGAGGGTTGAAATATTACCGAACTGCGAAGCAGTTTAACTGTGTTATTAAACTTATTATGCAGACGTCTGACTAAAATTAACTTATCGTCGCATTGTTATTGTATGACGAAATGATTTCTGATAAAGGGCCTTGTTGTTATCACTTGCCGATGCCGAGCATTTCCATTCTCAGCTGATTTATTTTTTGTTTGTTGCCGCCTTTCGGACACTTCCATTTTTGATTGATGTTATCAACACGTTGGATATTAAATAATCTTGGTGCGACATACAATAATTATTATTAGATATTATAGATAACCCTTAAAACAACAAAAAAGAATTTATTATGTTACTCGATTCATCCAAAATATTTTCACCAAATTTGTAAATATCAATTTCAAAACAAATATAAATCAATTCATCTAATTCTAAATCATTATGAGATAATAAATTTAATGTATAACCATAAAAATTATACTTTGTTATAAATATTTTAACAATAATTACCAAAAATAAGACCATAATATTATAAAAATCATTCTTTTTATATATTATAAGTATCTTAAATAATATAATCATCATTGTAATTAATAAAAAAAGACAATTAGAAATAATATAAACTGTATAATATATTATCCAAAATAATAATAATAATGGAAGTGATAATAATGATATAGCATAACAAATTTTCATTAAAAATATTGGATTATTCGTTAAACTATTTTTATATTCTTTATATGATTCATTAGTATTATAGATTGAACCAATTAATAAATTTTTCACCACCGTTAAAAAAAAAGTAACTACGAATAATAATGGTGTAATTATGAAAATAAAAATAATTGAGATTAAAAATATATCCATAATATTAATAAATATAGAGAAAATAAATTCATAAATATGTAATTTATCTAATTTCAAATAAGATTTTGAAAATAATATATTATCAAAAGGTTTTAATATCGGAGATTCATTTAATAATCGGTAATCGGAATTATGAGAAATTGATTGATAAATTAAATAAATAATCGCCGCTGTTGAAGAAATTGAATAATATGGATATTCTGGTCTCTTAATAATTATAACAAATGGATAGATTAAAGTAACAAATATACAATATCCAATAATTAAAAATATATAAATTGGAATATAAAGAGCAACGATTATTGGAAAAGATAAAAGTAAATAGATTCTTTTCCTCAAATCATTGCTACAAATACAAAATAAATGTGAATATATTTGAAATATTGAGGGTAAATAAGTAAGTAATGATATAATAATATTTGGAATCAGACATAAAAATAATACTGGTAAGATACAGATTAAAAAATCAAGGATTAATAATATCATATGAGAAGTGTATCTTAATAAAATCATTTTGTTCTTTTTTTATTTTTTATTTTTTATTTTTTTTTTTGCTGAAAAAGAACAAAGAAATGATTAAAGAACAACCTTTTCAACCTAAAAGTCTTGGCATTGTTGATAATCATGTAATATGTAGCACAATTTTTTTTTGTGTCCCATTCAATATTCGATGTATGGAATGACAAAGTGTATCAGGACAATATAGTGAGTCACTTATGATGTAGTTTGAATTAGGTTATTTCACCAATAACCATATGACCTTTAATTTAGTGTTCCAAACCAAAAAATCCATTTTGAGGATTATTTTTACCTTTTAAAGCTTCTGGATTTGGAAAATATTTTGCATTTGTTGCTGCGTCTTATCGCCAATAATTGGCATAATTGGCATAATTTTGATCATCGAGACTATCGTGCATATCATGCTTAATGGATATGTTCATTTAAAGATTTATAAAGCTAGTTTGTCTCACATAAAGTTGGTTTATATATAGTGAATTAAATGACAGATTACGATGATATCATATTACCTTTCGTCAGTTCGCTATGGTATGTCGAAAGTAAATATTGTTACGTATCACGAAATATTGTAAAATTGTGTATTTAACTTTAATGCGTATTAATATCAGATTTTTTTATTATAGAAGTACATTTTTCGAAGCGGTTTAGGCCAATTTAAGCAAGAACGGCAAAGTTATTGTACATCATCTACTTTTTTTGGCCAGTCAATTATTTCCATCTTGTACTGTAAATTGCGTAACGAAACACCTATAAACTTTATAATATACTAAAAAAAGAGTTTCTGCTCCTTAATCACCACTTCCAAAGATGTAAATCTGTAATCCGTTCATGTGTATCCTTTGTTAATATACTTATAGAATTAATGGTTTTTTTTTTTTAAAAAAAAAAAAATCTTGGGAACCTTTGAACGAATGGTTTCTGATTTCGGGTTATAGTTGATAAAATTTTAAAATTTTTGAAAGTTTCCTATTTTTTTGGGTCGCATTCATTTCACCGACGATTATCTCACCTACAGACGTTTCATCAACAGGTCATTTCGCAGACAAATGCTTCGCCAACAATCATCTCACCGACAAGGGAATTTAGGATTAGAATTAGAAAATTAGGGTTAGAATTAGTGTTAGGTAAGGAATATTGGGGACGATGAAATAACAATGATCAGGTGATTGTTGGTGAAGTTGTCTGACGGTGATATTATGATAATGAGATCCTTTTTTACCACTTATTTTTAGAATACGCAGCGCATGCACTTCACGATAAATTTTAAAACCTTATTTTTAAGACCATATTTTATTAACATAATTCATAATTTTTTGACTATCTTAAATCAATAATAGTTCAATAGTTAGTTTATGTTAGTTTCTTAAAATAAAAAAAGAAAAGAAAAAAAGTAGGAAGCAATTAATTTTAATTTAATGTTACATAAAATCATAATTTTAATTTTTAATTTAAATAATCTTAATTTATAAAATTCTAACAAAAATTTTAACATATTATTTTTAGTCATCCAATTCTTCAGCATCAACTCCAATTTCTCTTGCAACATCGTTAACATATTGTTGCACGCCATTTTCTATTAACTCTTCAACTCTTCCTCTCCTTACGGCATAAACTTTTTTAGTAACATTATCAACAAACCATCTATCATGACTAACAATAATAACAGCCCCTTCAAATTTATTTAAAACTTCTACAAGTGTTTTAATTGTAATCATATCCAAATGACTTGTAATTTCATCAAGCATTAAAATATGTGGTGCATGATAAACTTGTAATGCGAATGCAACTCTAGATTTTTGTCCCCCAGATAAATAAGACATTTTTTGAACTGATAAATCACCGGAAATTCCAAATCCTCCCAAATAAGATCTTGCTTTATGTTCATCAATTTCAGGATATATTTTTTTCATATACGCAACAGCTGAAACGTCCAAATCTAATGCATCAACGTTATGCTGAACAAAGTGTCCAATTTTCATTCTAGGATGTCTTGTTACGGTACCTTTTGTAGGTTCTAAATCGCCTGCAAGTAACCCCATTAAAGTGGATTTACCTTCACCATTTGCACCAACAAAACCAATTCTTGCGCCTTCTTCAACGTTAAGTGTCACATTTTTAAGGACAGGTTTGGTGCTATTAGGATAAGTGAATGAAACATTTTCTATTTGTAACAAAGCACCGTGATGACGTAATGGTTCGGGTGATGGAATATTCCAATTAACTAAGGTTTCCGCTTTTTCAACTACAATTTCATCACGAGCTGCATTAAAATATCCTACTCTATGCTTGTTTAATTTGAATCGAAATCCATCCTCACTTTTATTCATTCCGAAACGTTCGAGTTTCTAATCACATAGTTTCAAATTAGTTTATTCGAAAATGAAATAAAGATAAATAAAGAAATAAAGATAAACCGTTGTAAGTCCGGAGCGAAAAACTAAAATTTGCGATTTCATTGGGTTACGATCACGTGGCGGACAGAGAATGCACGTGATCGATTCTTTTTTTCATAGTGCGTAGACATATATTGTCCTTCGCTTCGCTCCGGACAATAATAAAATATTACCTTCTTACGACTCGCAACCATTCCTAAAAGCTTATCGTCTCCACTTTCTTTAGCTTTTTTTTGAGCCTTTTGAATACTAGATTCTATATGCTTTTTTTGTTTCTCTTGAGCTTCAGCCATTCTTTCTTTTTTTAATCGTTCATCCTCCAAATTTTTCTCAAATTCATCGTAATTACCAGTATGATAAGTTAATTTGGCATCTTTGAAACGAATTATCTCGGTGACTGTTTTATTGAGGAATCGACGATCATGAGAAACAATGACCATGGTAGTGTCAATGAGAGTATTCAAATACGATTGAAGCCAAAGAATAGCCGGTAAATCCAAGTGATTGGCTTAAGAAAAAAAAAAAAATATTAAATTAGATTCTTTGTGAATCAACATGAGAACAGGATTTTATGATTCACTTATGAAACCCGAGACATTCTTGTGTATTCGTCAAATTTTCATTGATTAATAAAAATGCTCGTTTAATAATATAAATTGTACTTACTAGGTTCGTCTAATAAAAGAATATCTGGTTGTAAAAATAATGCTTGAGCTAATGCTACTCTCTAAATAATCATTATTAAAGTTTTATAAGAAAAATATAACAGATAAATCTTTCGATGAATTTTTTTTTTTAATGTGATATTTACCATACGCCAACCACCAGAAAGAGAAGAAAGCGAGGCCATTGGAGAATATTGCTGCTTTTCAGAAAATCCAAGACCGGATAAAATTTCTTGAGCTCTTGCTTCAGCAGAATCAGCATTAATCTTTATTAAAATTAAAAGATACAGATTTAAATGTTAAATAATAATGTAATAGATTAATTTAGTTCATATAAAAAAACCCACTTGTTCAAGTTTTGTATACACTTCCTCTAAGAGTTCATAAATCACCGCAGTAAAATCTTCGGTTTGATTTTCTTTATCACCTTTATCATCCAATGCTCTACGTTATAATATGATTAGCATATCTAAATTTTAAATAATCACTGTTTATTCGAATGAACTTTATTATACTTACTTTTGAGCTTCAGCTACTCTAGCTTCAGCATCCAACAATTCTTTTCTTGCTTCAGCACCTCTACGACCACTTCGTAGAGTTGCAATTTTTTGAGCTTCTTCTAATTCTCTTTGTAGTCTTTCAGCTCTAATACGTTTAACAGCAGATTCAATCTTTTTCGAATCTCCACTTTCTGACGCAGTTTGGAGAGCTTGTTTTTCATTTAATAAAAGAGTTCGTTCTTTATCTGCTTTAAGAACGACTTGAGCAACATTTTCTTTTTCATCTACATTTTCCAATTGTTCAATATATAAAACTCGAATGTTTCTAGGAAATCCGACAAGTACTCCACTACCGATACATTTAAGAAGTGCTTTTATAATATAAAATAAATTTTTTGATTATTAAAAAAATACCCATTTTTTCGTTAAGAATTTTTTATATGAACAAAAAAAATAGTTACTTGATTTTCCAGTTCCGTTTCTTCCAACTAAACCATAATGAACACCAGTTTTTAATTGTAATTTTGCATCAACTAATAATTCTTTACTACCGACCGTAATATTAACATCTTTTAAATCAACCTTTTATATAATAATAAATCGATTAAAAAAATTTAAAAATTTTTTTTTCAATAACGTAAAATATGATTTGAAGATAGGTTACCTCTTTTGATAAAGTTTCTAAGGTTTCAGTATGAAATCTTGATTGTTGAGAGTATGCAATGATTTCCGAATCATCTACAACGGATTTTTGTGCTTTAGTTGATGTGGATTGTTTTCCAGTGGTTTTGACGGATTTCTTTCCAGACTTGCCAATTGAGGAAGCAGTATGCGTATCAGAGGTAGGTGTCGATAAATTTAACTTAATAAAGAAATATATAAATTTATTTAGTCAAAAGTGAATTACATCATAAAAAAAATTTAATATTTTTTTGTACCTGGTCTAACTTAGTAACAACTTCTTCCGGTAATTTTTCAGGTCCAATTTCCGAAGTAGTATCGGTTGAATCCGTAGAGTCGTAGGAAAATTTGTTATAAAAAGAATCTAAGTCGGATTTTTCTATACCGGCATCAATTAAGAATTGTTCGGTAGCCTCACGCAGCGAATCAGCACCTTCGATATCTGCTAATACATTAGAAATGTATTCTTTGATATCATCATCGAATGTTACGTTCAAAGGTAGAGCAGCGAAAAATCTTGAGGATAGTGATGAACTCATAAATGATAGGAAAAAAAAACTTTCAAATAAATAAATGAATTAATTTAAAATTAAAGAATGATAATTTGATAATATCTCGAAGGAATTAATTTATAAACTTTTTTCATTACTGCGCAAATAAACGGCGTAGTATAAGAGATTTGATTCATGCAATGAATTCTTTACGCCCAAACTAAAACTATGGGCTAATTTAGGCAACTTAACCAAAAATAGGTTTTTAATTTAGTTGCGCAGCATTGATATACAAGATAGCTGCGTAATGTCTTGTTGTAACAGGTTCGAACTGCGGATTAATATAAAACATTTTAATGATGCATATCAATTTAATTTATGTAACAAAAGAACGCGTAAAAGAAAAAAATTCATACATAAATCGAAGGCTCGTTCCAAATAAAGCCAAACAATTATAATTCTATATATAGCCTATATGGCAGCACAATGTAATTTGCTTATTTATTTGAATTGAAAACCCCTAAAATTATTCGCATGATTCTCATAATGATAATGCAAATATAATTAAAATAATTAAAATATGAAATAATGAATAAATGGAACAATGGAAACAAGGAAACAAAGGAAACAAGGAAAAATGAAAGAAATGACCCTTCGTCTTACTTCTGAGTGTTCATAGAAAAATGAATATATTTTATATATATATAATTGTAACATTAGTGATGATGTGATTCAATTAAATTCTACCTGAACTAAATTCTTTCCAAATATCATAAAATACTTTGTCGACTGGATCTCGTTCTCATTTCCTTTCAGGACGTGCCATGTACAATATATATATATATATATATGCAATACATAAAATAAATTGGGTTATAACTAGATTAAAGATCTTAAGTTGCCTCAATTTTTCCGACACTTTCGCCATTCCGGATTTTTTCACGCCAATTGCTTCCATCTAACTTAAGTGTATTTTGACCCAAAAGAACTTGATGTTGGAAAAAAAAAAGCGCTGAGGTAGTATTCTCCGCCGAAATCATCAACTCTTCTTTACCGTTAAGACCGATCAGTTTGACCAAATATTTTAGGGATAAAATGTTGCCATTTTGAGGAGTGGAAGTCGGTACTAAACGCGCATAAGCGACTTCTCGCAACTTTGTTGTTACGTGCCTTTCAATGTGTTGTCTCATTTCTTTGTCATCTACGAATTTCTTCGTTCTTATCAAAGTTACATATATAGTTTGGCAAATTATCTAAATAAAAGATATATAAATTAATTTATCATTAGAAGACAATTCGTTTTTTTCTTTAACAATATCTATAGTTCATGAACCCACATGATTTAATATTAAAATTAATTATTGGAGAAAGAATAAAATCGGTCTAATATGCCCACTTTCTCCACTGCTCTTTTCTTCAACAAATTTCAACATACACTTTTTCTTCTTTTATATAATCTAGAAAATAACCGAATATTATGATTAATAATATGTAGCATGAAAATATAAAGATAAGCTAACTCACCTTTGGATAGCTGTTGACTTCGATGATAGCAATAAAGATGTCACGAATAAATTCGTAAACTAATACTCCAGTCAATACTCACTTGTGTGCTTTAAATCCGATTTTTATAGGAAGAATGACGAAAGAATAATTGATTATAAAAACGCCAATTATTAAAAATGTTGGCAAATCGATCGTATATCTTTTTACAGAAATTAGCGAAACCGACGAAGAGAATCTAGTTAAGACAATAGAATAAAACAGGTTCTTAAATCAATTATCATACGAAAATATTAACTTTCTTAGCTTTTTTCATATCACAACAAATAAATATATCATTTAAATACCAAAGTTCTGTTGCTAATTTATAATACTTACTTTAGAATCGGTTATTATATTAGACGCGTTAAATGTGATTTGTATTATAAGTTTAGATCTAGAAGTATACCTTATGAAATTAAGTTATACTTGACTGACATGTTTGACTATCTAGACTGAAGATATTTATATTTACTTAATACCTGAAAGCCGTTACTCAAAAACAGAGAATAAAATTATGGTTAAAGAAAGTAGAAAATCTTAGTTTATTTCTCGAATTTCTTTATTTGTAAACGTTCAACAGAACGTCATCTTTGTGTAACACTTTTTACTCTATGTTCTAGCGAACCGAATATTTCCGACTTTCCGAGGGTTTCCGAAAATTTTTTGTTTATTCAACCCTAATTTAATCATCTGTTCAAAACTCGGATTTTCTTTTTATTTTTTTACAAAGAAAAAGTTTAAAAAAAGTCTCACTATTTATATTTTACATTGTTATTTAAATTAATAGATTTATTTTTATTTTTTATTTCTACACGTGATATAAAAATTTCTCGTTTTAAAAATTTTAAAAACCAACATTTCTTTTTTTTTTGTGTCTCTTTTGCGCAGCAAAAAAATCTCAGGATTTAAGATTTTCAAAATTGACAAGGTGTTGTAATACAATTATTGATGAACAAATCTTTTTGTAACGTTACCAATCCTAATCAAGCTGTTTCCGATTAAATGGGAATAATAGGACAAATTCTTGACATAGGACAACTTTCTGTGTAATCAAGTTTTCTCTCCTGTCAAAAATATTGCACATTTTTTTTTTTATTTTCAATAGCTTTTATAATAATACGAGTTCCTCGGAAGTTTTAAAAAAATAAGTTGATAAATAATCTATCACGGGTAAGCATTACCATTTGTAGTATTGGTAAAGTTATCCAATGATGTTTATATCAACAAATCACAATATTATTATTTTAAAATTGTCCGCAGTATTGATAACTTATTTTGATTGGTTTCCAATGAACTGCAGTTTTTGATATGACGCCTACCTTGCCCGGTGATTGTTTATTACAAATTTTTTCCTACCTTGCTGATGATAGCAAATCCCTTTACGCTTTCTTAAGAGTAAATCGATTATGGTGTGTAAATGCCATTAAATATTTATGGAAACAACCTTTTCAATTTGCGTTGATCTTGAAGAGCACACCAGATTATACTTCGCATCATCGAAGAAAAACCGGAAAACTTACCGAGACTTTTATTACATGTTTGATTCATAACGAAATTATTTCCGGGGGTAGTATTCAAAATAAAAAAAGAACATCTGCGAGAGTTCCTTTGGTATCACCTCCATTATTTAATTATGTAGGATTTATTCGAAAACTTGATCTTGATGATTTGGGATTGGCAATTGCGGAATGGGCTGAATATATTTTTTCACCAAAGTATAATCGAGATGCTTCGTCCGTAAAGCTTAGGAATGCCATATTTTCTGTATTAATACAGCAAAAATCTACCAAATACACATCAATCAAGAATTTTCGTAATGATAATTCATTGATCGGGGAGATCACCATGAAAATATATAAATTATTGATGAATCAAATTCCAAAATTAGATTGTCTTTCAATGAAACCTGGGGGTACAGATAGATTCTTCTCATCAACATCGGAACTTCTTAAAGTGCATCTGGAGAAAGGCGCATGGTTTAATCATATTACAAAAGAAAATATGTCGATAATTCACTATCCTCGTGCCGATGTTTGTTTGGCTAATTTGGTTGAATTTGAATGGAAAATTTTGAGAACAGAAGCGACAACTTCGGAACAATTTTTAATTGACCTTTCTCAAATTTGTACTAAAATCCAAAGGATTGAATTTGATATGAATAAACCGTGTCGACCACAAGATTTGTCGATCCTCGAGGCTTTAAAAATTTTAATTGAATCACAAACATGTTTAGAGGAATTTGAATTGAAAAATTGCATTTTAGATAGTCATCATATAATGGTTGGACTCAATAATCGAGTTAATACATTAAAAAGATTAATTTTTCGACAAGTGAATTCATTAAAATTGGAATTTATTTCTGGTATAGCAAATTTATATAATTTGGAAGAGTTAAGATATTATGGAGGAAGTATGGGGAGTAAAGACGCTTGGCCTTTGAGCTTTACGCATTTTCCAGTATTGAAAGTATATGAAATTGATGATTTATTTCCAACAGCGATCGCAGTTAATCCTGATGCGATGGTTTCAAATTATTGTCCAGCTTTACGAACATTTATTTATAATCAAAGAAGGTATTATAGAGCAGAATCTACTAGTACAATAATTGGATCAATCGGAGTACATTGTGAAAATTTGCGACATTTTGAATGTAACGCAGAAATTTGTTCAATTACTATATTACAATTGGCTTTTATGGCGTCACCAAACCTTGAAAGAATCATTTTAACGAATGATAGACTATCATTAAAAATTGATGAGTTGTTAATGATGGCTCGATTAAAAAAGTTAAAATATTTAGAATTGAATGGATCATGGAATTTTAAGGCCGAATCTTTATATCATTTTTTGGTCTTATCTCAACCGCCACTTTCGACAATTATTTTATCAAAAAATAGTTGTTTTGAAGATCCTCATCTTGAGGTTTTATTAAATTGTTTGGAAGGTGTTTTAACAACTTTTCATCTTACTAAAATGACTAAACGATTGGGTTTAGATATGAGAAGACAAGCTAAAGACAAAATCGAAAATTTTCTTTGCAGAAGAAAAACTAATATTGAAGAAGAGTAAAATAGTGAGTGGTTGTGATGAAAGTCGAGCGGTGATTGATTGTGAATGATGTAAAGATGTGAAGATGTGAGACAATTAAAATAGAGGTTAATATATTTGATGGGTCAGTGATTTAATTAATTTTTTTTACAGTGAACAATAGTGACGACATAGGGAATGTCATTTAATATATAGTTTAGGTTCTTTTTTATTGATTTATAAAAAAAAAAAAATTTTTTTTTTTTTTTTTTTTTTTTTTTTTTTTTTTATGCTTTAAATAAATTTACGAAATTTTCTAATGAAATTTTATCTTGTTAAAAATTATTAAATTATGATCTTAACCTTCCACAAAAATCTTGGCGCGGATTTTTATTAGCGTTAACGTTAAAAGATTATTTTATTATCAGATACTGTATGTGAATATTAATTTTTACATAATTTATTATTAAACATTTTACTTTTTAAGCCAAATGATATTAAGTACCATGAAATTATTCTTTTGTTCCTTGAAATCATCTTTTTCAATAAGCGAAACCAAGTGAGGTAAAATCATGAAACAAAATCAGATGATTTGAAATTTCCTTTTGTAAAGGTGGGGAGGAGAACTGGAGAACCTATAAATTGATGCATAAAAGATTTAACTACTATTATCATATAAATATAGAAATTTCGTACGGAATGATTTTCCTTAAAAAACATTCTTTATTATTAATAAATAATGTAAGAGGTGTATAACTTATTTCTTCCTGTGGAAGCATATGGAAGCATATCTCATGATATAATTTTACACATCAGCTGTTTGATTTTCAGCAACTGATGATCGCATATCGCATTTTATGTTTACCTATTACGATTTAGCAGAATTACATGGAAGATTGTGATATAACATATAAGATTATAAGACTTATGATCAAATAGAATTTTTGTGGATTTTTGTTGTGATTAAAAAAAAATCATAAGTTTTGTGATTTTTGTGATTTTTGTGAAATTTTGTGAATACAAAAATCGTCGTCCCTAGCGGAAATTAAATACGAATATTCCGGGATGATCAGTGCATAGTGCATATTTGGACATAGGAACACGCCATACTCAAAAATGTCAAATATACAATGAATTTTTCGCGTAATCTGTAACACAAAAAATAAAGGGAAACAATCAATTTTAAAAAATGATTATATGGTGAAGCAATCTTGCAGAAAGTTTAATAATGGAGTTTTGCTTTGTTTTCTTTTTTTTATTATATAATAGTATTATAATATAATATTTAAAGTTGTTTATAATAATATAATTATATAAATTATAAGCATATTTATTACTATGTAAGTCTAAATTGATCTATTTGTATATTGTTAATAGAGTACCTGTAAAAGGTGGGGAAATACGAATTGGACTGTTCCTTGGATTATTTTTTTGTTTTGTTTTTTTACGTTGGTCAAAATATTTTTTTTTAGAATCAAGCGAACGCTTTTTATCATCTAACCAACATTGTTTATTTTCTTCTAGTAAATTACAATATTGAGGATAAGTAATATCTAATTGTTTTTTCCAATAATAATATTCACAGTTGAAATAACTATACGGCAAGATATCAATGAATTCACGTGGAAATTTTTTCATGTATAATTTATCTTGTCTAAAAATTTGTCTTTTTATTAGAAAATAAAAATTAAAGATATAAATATTAAAAAGAAAAGAAAAAATACATACGTTATACAATTTTTTATTAAACATTTTTCGCAGCATCTAACTTCCAATCCCCAATAAATGTTACATTCTGTTTTTCGTTTACAAATTTGACAACCTCGTTCTATAATTAATAATTCAACATATTTTTTTTCAATCATTCCTTCAGGAGGAGGCATAGTTTCTTTTGGCATAAATTTTAGACGTGATTCCTTCCATATTTGTTGAGTGGTCGAAGAATTTGAAGTACATAAATATTCATGAAACTTAAAACATACTTGAGAAAGTGAGCATAAATCATTTGGTGGTAAAAAGGAACATATTATAATAAATATTTCAGGAGGAAGGCTAATAATCAAAGATTGTACTTTAGAGATATTTTTTATATTATTTTCAGTTTTTATTTTAGTAGTAAGAGTATTAAAGAAGTTTAAAGAAAAATTAAAGAAATTAAAAAATTCAATATCAGGAGATAAGTTTGTAATTAATAAATGCACCGCGAGCATATTTTGTTCAGATTCCATATTGATTGTATTTAATCGAAAGATTTAAAAATTCCAAAGGTATCGCCTTTCAAACTTCATCATATTTATAATGTTTCATGTACAGCGGAATGAGCGTAGCTACGTTCTAATATGAGGATCAGCAGTTGCTGCGGCTGCGCCAAAAGGAGTAAATTACAAAGACAATGTAATACAATTATATAATATAAATACTAATAAAGATTTCTTTTGGATTTACAACGCTTGTTTTGTGATTATTTGCATGTATGGTATTTTGAATATCATATACTAATTTTATAATAGCATTAAAAAGCTACTTTCATTCCATTGTGGATGGATACAGCCACTCTGTGTATCCAAATATTTTGTTAGTATATAGTTCTCCTTTTTTTTTGTTAGTATATCACACACATATCGAACCTTTCGATTTTAAAACAATGTAATTATTTAATCAACTTACTAATATTAGTAGTTTTTCATTGCAAAATTTGAAACAAAGAAGGTGCGCAAAGCCGCAAGCATATGTTAAAGGAATAATCGATAAAGGATTTGGCGTTGTCTGAGGCAACCAATCAAATGTCAATTTGGATTTGCATGTAGTACAAATAACTAGATAGTCATTAATAATGACGGATTTATCAATCTTAATATTAATTTTTAATATAAACATGTTTATAAATTAAACAGTACTTTTCTAATAAGATTGATTCTAACCAATTTAACCATGTTTCCATGTATTTTGAACATTGTAAATTCTAATCGTAAAAATTGAAAGTTGATATACAATTAAATATGGTTAAATGTTTCGGCAAAACCTTCCCGTTTAAGTGTAACTTAAAGAATACCCCCGTAAAATTACCTTATTAAATTATCTGTATACTTGAATCAATTACCTAAAATGATTTGAAAGGTATCTAATATTTCCGGGGATATAGACATATTTGGCAATTTAATATTCTAGGTGCATTACCATTTTGTAATAAAAATTATTATTTATATTGGCGTTGTGTTCACGACGATCTTACCAACAGTTATAGTAATTTATGTCTTCCATCTTCTCATAACTTAACTTATCAAGAAACTTGTAATACTAAACGTATTGCACATCACTGATATTAACAGTTTCTGTTTACGTGAAACAAGTTAAAACAATAAATATAAAATAACTATGAAAAATAAAAAATACATTATCTATTTTTTTCTTTTTCTTGGAAAAATTAAGATGGTACTGGAGATGATTAGATTTGTTTCTCTTGCAATTTTAATCTTTCTTGATTTTATAATATTTTTGATGCCTACATATATATTAAGTCTAATAATAAATTTTTTAATAATATTGATTTGGTATTTTCCTTCACTATATCAATTATATTCGTTCATTTTCACGACTAAAGAATATGATTCGAAAATGAGAATTTATTTGTTATTAATTTCTCTTATAATAATTGTTTTATATATTCCATTCTTTACAATATATTCAATTGGATATGCCATATTTTTTTCATTGATTAACCCATTAATAACAATCATACAAAGACCCGGATATCCACTTTATTCACTTTCTCCAACAGCTGCAATAATACACTTAATTTATAAATATATATATAATCATTCTATTGAAGAATTTTTACTAGATTTTTTAATATTGGAAAAAATCAAAGAAGTTAAGCAACATTGTCATTTCCATCCTCTCAAATTCCCGGAAATAATAAAACAATTCAAATCAATATTTATTATATTAGATTTTTTTATAATCTTTTTAATTCTTATTATAATAATTATACCAGACTTAATAATATCAACTACAATTTTAGTAATTTTTTATTCTCTAATGCTATCTTATGATCTATCATTAAAATTATTAATAAATAATTATAAGTTTTCTTCATCCTACATAAAATTTTGGTATCTTTTATTATTAATATTTGTTCCATTTAGTTATATAACTTTATTTATTATATTACTTATTGTTTATAATTTATATGGAATTTGTTGGTATTTTAAGGTAATAGCTAGAATATTTAGTAAAGCAATTGAAATATATTATAAAAATGACAACAATGGATTTTATGATGTTATAGACTTTTTTTGGGCAATTATTATTGAACCATTCCTAAGTAATGGTAATGAAGTGTATATTTATGTATGTTTTAGAATTAATTTAAATTATAGCCAAGATATGTTAAATGTATTTTACAAATTATGTTAAATAAATATTTCTCAAAAAATAAAATAAAATAAAATAAAATAAAATATATAACAGTTTATTTTTTTAATAAAAATTAAAAATATTTTAACTTAAAAAAAAAATATAAACATATAAAAGTACTTGAATACATAATATTAAAAACCTCTGTTAAAAATTGTGTATCTAACCATATCTATAAGCAAATTTATTTTTAAAATTTTTTCCTCTCACTTTCATGTTATATTTATTAAGCTTATTATTTCGTTTCTTTTTATTTTTATTCTTTTTAGTTTTAATAAAATTATTTATTTTTTGTTCATTAGAATTTTCAAGGTAATTATTTGCTGAATTTACATCAAAAGTTGATTGATATGATTCATTTTCAAGTCTTTTAATATGAAGTTGAATTAAATGAGGTACATCATTATTGTTAACTTTTTCAACTTTTTCAATTTTTTCAACTTCTTTAACTTCTTTAGTCGCACTTTGCACAAAAAATCTGGACAGAGGTGGAGAAGGTGGAGGTGGAGCTGATAGAGAACGTCGTGAATAAAATGAATATAAAAAACTAAAATCATCTTCTATGGTATCACAGTATGTATGTGGAGATAAAAAATGATATTTCGTTTTTTCTTTTTCTTCGGATTTGCGTAATTCACGTCGTCTAATGTAATTAATTATAGAATCAAATACTTGCTTTTTACCATCCAACCAAATTTTTTTCTCCTTTCTCAATAAACCATAGTATTGAGAATATGCAAGATCTACTTGTTCTTTCCAATAATATTTTTTACAAAAGAAATATCCAGTATGAGTGCATGGCATAATATTAACAAATTCTAACGGACATTTAATTTTGATAATCAAATCAAACCGACTAATTTATTATAAATTTTAATTTTTATAAGAGTTATTAGTTTAAAAAGCTTATAAAATTATGGATTTAAATATTATTATTTAAAAGAAATAAAAAATATACCTTATGGCGTTTTTGTAAAAACACTTTTTACAACACCTAATTGTAAATTCCCAATAAATTTTGCATTCTTTAGTTTGTTTACAAATTTGACAACCTCGTTCCGCCATTAATAATACTGCATATTTTTCTTCACTCATGCCTTCTGGTGGAGGCATATCTTCTTTTGGCATAAATTCTAAACGAGATTTCTTCCATATTTGTTGAGTAGCAAAAGAATTTGGAGCACATAAATATCCGCGAAATTTACGACACACTTGAGAAAATGTGAATAAATCAACTGGTGGTAAATAAGAGCAAATTTCAATAAAGAGTTCAAGTGGAATAATTGTAATTGGTGAGTGTACTGCGGGAATATCCTGCATTGTGTTGGTCAAACTCATTCTAGACTCTAGAGTCTTCATTCCCACTTTATATAAATACTTTGAATGAGATCTTCAATGCATGATTACGTTTCAGGATATAAATAATTTGCATATTACACAACAACGGATAAACAAAAAGATACAATATGATTGAATTTACAATGTTTTTAGTGTAATGTTTAAAAAATAAAACCATATTTGTAAGAAAATTAAAAAAATTTCACTATATTAAATTACTAATTAATCCCTTTTCTTATTCCTGATAAAAAATTAGTCTCACTCTTGTAGTACTTAAAAATAAATAGACGCATAGTCCCGAAAATAAGCAACCTTTTTTTGCATATAATATCAGTAATGTACTGTAGGACTGTAGGCGGGGTGCTTATTTTCTGGACTAGGCTTTAATTCATTTCAATTAACAAGTTTATTTAGGCTTAATTGTTTGTTTAACGTACCCATCCCTCTCTATTTTTAAAAAATCTAAATTTGATAAAACAATATATGTTTAAATGCTCCCTCTAAATTTATTAAAAAGATTTTAAAATTGATGATTACACTTTATTTGCTCTATTTATACCCTATTAGTATATTACAGTTTTTTTTGTAACGACATATTACTCAATATCTAATTTCTAATTCCTAAAAAATTATACATTCTTTAACTCGTTTAAATTTACAATCTCATTTTAATATTGATAATTCAACATATTTTTTTCGTTCATTCATTCCAGTAGACATGTTATAATTTCCTTTCACGCATATTTACTAAGTTGTCAAAAAATTTGGGCAAATAAATAAATATTCATAGAAATCAGCTGGGTTATAAAGGAGCATATTTAATAAAAAGTTTAGAAGAAAGCGAATATACTGCAAGAATGTTTTATTTAAAGGTCCCTTGTTATTTAACACGAAATTATCATTATTTTGTAACAATGAAGTATTAGAGACAGTTAATACAATTAAATTCCTATTTATTTATAATAATATATATATGGCGACACGATATCCAATTACATTCACGCAATTTATTATACTGCATTGAATATTAATCTTAAATAAATTTATGATTATTATGCGTTTAAATATCTAACTTAAACATTTTAGTCTTAAACATTTTAGTCCTAACCATATTTATGAGAAAACTTATTTTTATAATTCTTTCCTTCCACTTTCATGTTATATTTATTAAGTTGATCTTTTACCCTTTTAGTTTTTAACAAAATTATCTCTTTTTTGTTCATTAGAATTAAGATAATCATTTGATGAATTTAGCCTTGTCTTCGCATTAAAAGTAAATTTAAATGATTTATTTTCAAGTCTTTTAATATGAAGTTGAATTAATTGAGGTATATCATTATTGTTAACTTTTTCAACTTTTTCAATTTTTTCAACTTCTTTAACTTCTTTTGTCGCACTTTGTACAAAAAATCTTGATAGAGATGGAGAAGGTGGAGAAGGTGGAGGCGATGGAGGCGATGGAGGCCGTAAATAATACGGATTTGAATAAATAAAATCATCCTCTATGATATCACAGTATGCATGTAGAGATAAAAGAAAATGTCCTACTTTTTCCTTTTCTCTGAATTTACGTAATTCACGTAGTAACCTAATATACTAATTCATTATAGAATCAAATATTTGCTTTTTCTGCTTATTCAACCAAATTTTTTTCTCTTTTTTTGATAAACCATAATATTGAGAATATGCAAGATCTATTTACTCTTTCCAATAATATTTTTTACAATAGTAATAACCAGTATGTGTACATGGCATAATATTAACAAATTCTAATGAACATTTAGTTTTGGTAATTAAGTTAATCCGACTAAATTATTATAATTTTTTTTATTTTTATAAAAAAGTTCGTTAGAATGAAAATTTATAAATTATGAATTATTATTTAAAGGTGTGAAAATATACCTAACGGTTTTTTCGTAAAAACATATTACACAACATTTACTAACTTCAGATTCCTAATAAATTTTGCATTCTCTAATTTATTTACAAATTTGACAACCTCGTTCCGTTATTAATAATTCAGCATATTTTTCTTCACTCACTCATGCCTTCCGGCGGAGGCATATCTTCTTTTGGCATAAATTTTAAACGAGATTCCTTCCACATTTGTTGAGTAGCAAAAGAATTTGGGGCACATAAATATCCACGAAATTTAGAGAAAGTGTGAATAAATCACCTGGTGGTAAAAAAGAACAGATTTCAATAAAGATTTCGGGAGAAAAATTCATAATTGGTGAATGTACTGCAGGAATTTTTGTCAAACTAATTTAAGTCTTTTCGAATGCATGATTACGTTTAAATTACGTATTTATTGATCAGGATATTTAAATATACTGAATATCAAATTTTTAATTTTAAATTAGGAAAATTTACACTATATATAGTATAAATAAATAAAGGTTGATGTATGTTAAGATTAGGTGTGAATTTAATCTTTATATTATAATTTTAAGCAGTTTATAATTTAGTATGTCATATTAATTTTTTTTATAGTATGTTAAGAAAAGATATTTTAAATGATTTTTATTTTTTATATAACATATAAAAATAAAACCATTTGAATGGATTTTAAGGTACTATAAAAATTGGCAATGTGATGTAGCTTTAAACAAAATTATATATTAAAATTTTTCTTGCTTTTCGTTAGCTTTTACAAATTACACAAAAAAAATCATTAGTCAAGCAATTGCTAAAATTTTATATTCAGTTGAAAATTTACCAGAGGTTGAAAAATTTTTTAATGATAAAAATAATGGATTTGAAATGAAGAACAAAATCTTTGATTTATAGAAACAATCATTTATCGTTATGAATAAATAATTATATTGATAATTTATCTGAACAAAATTCTTCTATGATGATATGTCCAATAAGTAATGATCTTGAATTTTCTTTTTCATATTATTTTCAAATTAATTATTATGAAAAGTATTATTATGAAGAATTGGATATATTAAAACAAAACATCAATAATAATAATGAATTATATAAAGAATTGGTTGAAAATCATATTGGGATTATTTGGTGACCATATTTTTAACAAAAAGTTTTTTTTTTTTTAATAAATATCTCATTATGTTAAAACCGCCTCATTATTCATGATTTTTTAATAATGCATACTTACTGTATATCTTGTATATCTGGAATATTTAATAATACATTTTCTAATTGTTTATTTTGTTTTCATTTTTTTATACAATTTGATAACTGTCACAAATCGGAATCCTGATATCATTACATCATTATAGATTTTTTTTTTTTTTTTTTAATATTTTGATTGACTTTATTAAACAAATTTGCATCCATTTTTAATCTTTTATTTAAATAAAAAATAAATTTATTTGAACAATAAACATTCTTTTATTTTTTATTAAACTAAATAAAATATCTATTACAAATGATACTTTTTTTTTATAATTACAAATAAAATTTGTTTAAAGTTTTTATGAAATCAATAAATACAAAGTCATTATAGAAATTTATATTTAAATTTTAATTATATAATCATCCAAATCCTTAGAATTAATTTGATATAAAATTTCAGTAAGCAAGCGGCTTGTATAACATGCTTGTGGATGAGTTTGAGTTTGTAAAACAGAAATATTATCTTGTTCTTCTGTCAAATCTCTATTTGCTTTTATAAATTCATGCATATCATTTTTTAATTGATTATCAATATTAGGAACTACATATCTTTGTTTATCTTCACCATTTAATTGATAATATTCATTAATACATCTAAGCCATTCAGATATAGTATTTTCAATAATTATTATATTTGGTCTTTTGGAAGGATCTGAATCCCAGCACTTTTTCATCAAATTTATATAACATTTTGGAGTATTTTTCATAATTTCAGGGCGATCTCCTTCACAAATACTTAAAGTAAGTTGAATATCATGTGCTCTATTATTAAATGGAGGAATACCTGATGTAAATTCCCACATCATCATTGAAAAGCTATAAATATCACTTGCTGGAATATAGGGTTTTTTCCTCAATATTTCAGGCGCCATATAGGGTAAAACTCCATAAACTTCATCAATTTTATCATCAGAATTTTGTATAGGTTTGCATAATCCTAAATCAATAATATATATTTCACTATAATCATCTGATATTAAGATATTACCATCATGAAAATCACGATGAGTCAGTTCTGATTCATGTATTACTTTAAGTCCTAAAATAATTTTTTTCAATAATTGCAATTTAGTTTGCCATTTAAATTTAACTATATTAGTTAAACATTTTTTCAAACTTCCTTTTTTTGCATAACTCATTATTATCACATAATTTAAATTATTTGGATCTTGGGAAATTCCAAAAAATTGAATAAATTTTGAAAATGATTTTTTCTGACAATTATAATGATGTTTCCACTATATACAATAAATATTTAAAATTATTAATTCATAAGATAAAATAAAATATACAATTAGTACCTAATAAATAAAATACTTACCTCATCTAAAAATTTATCACTTAAACTTGATGAATTATTAAGATTTTTAAGAATAACCTCATATTCAGTCCATCTATTCCATTGTTGCTCATCAAAGTTCCAACTATCAATAGGTCCATCTAACCAGATAGCCCTATAAATATCACTAAATCCTCCTTTATCATAATAATTAATATTATTCAATTTATTATAAGGTATCCATTCTAAAACTTCATAATTACTTTTAGCATTTAGTTGTGCTTCTTGAATAAATTTATCAATAAATTTATTTTTACTAGTCCATTTTGAAAAATCTTGCTGAAATTGTTTAATACTACATTGTTGGCACCATTTGTAATCAATATATGGTTGATTGCATTCCTTACACAAGTTGTTAATTTTAAAATTATCAGAAGTTATTTTGTGCCAATAAAAGGCTTTTTCCAAATTCTTCTCTGTCCCTTCACCATTTTCATAACATAAGGCAAGATTGTGCATTGACCATTCATCACCCTTCTCTGCTGCTTTCTGAAACCAGTAAAAGGCCATTTTCAAGTCCTTCTCTGTTCCTTCATGATTGTTGTAATATAAGGCAAGGTTGTTCATTGACCATTTATTACCCTTTTCTGCTGCTTTCTGAAACCAGTAAAAGGCCATTTCCAAGTTCTTCTCTGTCCCTTCACCATTTTTGAAACATAAGGCAAGATTGTTCATTGACTCTTCATGACCCTTCTTTGCTGCTTTCTGAAACCAGTAAAAGGCCATTCCCAAGTTCTTCTCTATTTCTTCACTATTGTTATAATGTAAGGCAAGATTGTGCATTGATTCTTTATCACCCTTTTCTGCCGCTTTCTGAAACCAGTGAAAGGCCATTCCCAAGTTCTTCTCTGTCCCTTCACCATTTTTGTAACATAAGGCAAGATTGTGCATTGACCATTCATGACCCTCTTCTACCGCTTTCTGAAACCAGTAAAAGGCCATTTCCAAGTCCTTCTCTATCCCTTCACCATTTTTGTAACATAAGGCAAGATTGTGCATTGACCTTTCATAACCCTTCTCTGCCACTTTCTGAAACCAGTGAAAGGCCATTTCCAAGTCCTTCTCTGTC